TCTCTCTTTCTGTCTCTCTCTCGTTCCCTCTCTCTCTCTCTCTCTATATATATAAAATATAGAGATATACACATATATATAGGGATATAGGTGCTCGCCACCCCGGCTATGATCATATAATCTGCAATGGAATCGATGCTTTCCATGTTTTGTTATTCAGTTCTCACCCTCATCCGCTCCCCGCATTCCGTCGCTCCTCCTCACCCTCTAATCCTCCTTCAGCGGGGCAATGCAACATCGGGCTCGGGGAGGCGGGGCAGCGCAAGGCCTCTGTAGTTCTCTCGCGCTGGATCCCAGTCCCTCTCTACCCTCAGGAGGGGGATTGCGAGGAGGAGGGGGAGAACAAGTAGCCAGATAGGCCGAGTGCGATCCCGACGATGGTGACGATGATGATGCGAAGATGATGATGACGATGACAATGATGACAATGAGAAATAATAATCCTTAATAAGGACTGCGTAATAAGGAATCAGTAATGAAGAATCCTGAATACAGGGATCCTGAATAAGGAATATGTACAACAAAGGAGTCCCTCATGCAGAATCTTAGCTAAAGAACCCTTAGCATGAAATATGTGCCAAGGATTCAGTACTAAGGAATATGTGCGAAAGAATGCTTAGTAGGGAACCTTTTCACCAAATAATCCTTACGAAAGACAATTATACTGAAGAAGAAGGAAAAAGAAGAAGAAGAAGAAGGATAAATAACAAAAAAAAACAATAAAGAAACTCACATCCGGAATCATCAATCAGAAATACGTACCTTAAGGGACCCTTAAAAGAAATCTTGAACCAGAAATCCTTAATCAGGAATCCTATGTAAGGAATCTGTCATAAGGAATCGTCGTCGAGGTATCCTTCGTAATGAATCCAAATTTCGGAACTATTACTCAGGAGCGTTTACCAAGAACTCCTGACTAAGAAAGCGTTACTGCGGCAATATTACTAAAGATCCCGGAATAAGGAATCCTGCATGAGGAGTCCTTACGAAGGAATCCCGAAGAAAGAATCTGAACTAAGGAATCCATACGAAAAAATATTTACTCGAGAATATATCATAGCGAATCCGGAATGAGGAGTCTGAAAGAAAAAAAAACTGAATAAGGAAGATGTACTACGGAATCCGTACTAAAGGATCCTTAGCAAAGAACCCTGTTTAATAAGGAATCTGAATGAGGAAATCCTTGACAAGAAAATGTTAATACTGAATCCTTCACAGAAAAATCTAAACTAAAGAATCCTGAATAAAGGGCCCTTAATACGGAATTCGTTCTACTGAATACTCAGAATAAGAAATCCTTCAGGAGGAAAATTGATTAAGGGATCCTTAGCAAGAACTCCTCGGTGAGGAGTCTAAGGAGCCCTGAGGAATATGTCTGGACGAACCATTACGAAAGAAGATGCATTAGCGAATCACTACTAAGGAATATGTTACAAATGAATATGGCATAAAGAATATGACCGAAGGAATCCTTAATGGCCAGGCATCCTCACCCTCGGTTCAAGAAAACGCTGTATGTTGGTAAGTGTTTGCTCTTATGGCCTGTGATGCAAGGAAGCACTGTGTATTTAATTGTTTTTGGCTTTGCAAGCGCAGGGAAAAGTGCTGCTACGGAGGCCGCGGCGAGCACTGGGGCCTACAAAACCAATTTAGCCGGACGAAGGACCCAACAATATGCAGTTGTGCGTGCCGCCGTTCTGTACACCGCATTCGGGGGAGCTCCCTATACGGCCACGAAACGTGTGAGGGCTGTGCCAAAGCTTGTCCGGTGGGCGCATGCGAAAGCAGCCATTTGGGCCGTCGGTGGAGCTCCCTATGGGGCCACGAAAGGCGTGAGAGGTGTGCGAAAACAGGCGCGGTGGGCACATGCGAACGCAGTCATTGGGGCCGTCGGTGGAGTTCCCTATGGGGCCGCGAAACGTGTGATGGGTGTGCCGAAGTGGGTGCTGTGGGCGCATGCGAACGCAGCCACTGGCGCCTTCGGTGGAGCTCCCCATGGGGCCGCGAAACGTGTGAGGGGTGTGCCGAAATTACAGTGGGTGACGCATGTGGGCGGTGGCACTGTGGCCTTCGGTGGAGCTCCCCGTGGGGCCACACAACGTGTGAGGGGTGTGCCGAAATTACAGTGGGTGACGCGTGCTGGCGCAGCCACTGGGGCCGTTCGCGGAGCTCCCTGTGGGGCCGCGAGACGTGTTTGGGTGTGCTGGAACGGGCGCGGGGGGCGCATGCGGACGCAGCCAGTGGCGTCCTCGCTGGAGCTCCCTATGAGGCCACGAATCGCGGGAGGGGTGTGCCGAAATGTGCGTGGCTGACGCATGCGGGCGGTGGCACTGTGGCCTTTGGTGGAGCTCCCTATGGGGCCACGTAATGTGTGAGGGGTGTGCCGACATGGGTGCGGGTGACGCATGCGGGCGGTGGCACTGGGGCCTTCGGTGGAGCTCCCTTGTGGGGCCACGAAACGTGTGAAAGGTGTGCCAACATGTGTGTGGGTGACGCATGCGGGCGGTAGCATTGAAGCCTTCCGTGGAATTCCCTGTGGGGCCACGAAGCGTGTGAGGGGTGTGCCGACAGGAGTGTGGGTGACGCATGCGGGCGACGGCACTGTGGCTTTCGGTGGAGCTCTGCATGGGGCCACGAAACGTGTGAGGGGTGTGCGGACATGGGTGCGGGTGACACATGCGGGCGGTGGCAGTGGGGGCCTCTATGGAATGCCCTATGGGGCCAAGAAACGTGTGAAAGGTGTGCCGACATGGGTGCGGGTGACACATGCGGGCGGTGGCACTGGGCCTTCGGTGGAACTCCCCATAGGGCCACGAAACGTGTGATGGGTGTGCCGACATGGGTGTGGGCGACACTTGCGGGCGGTGGCACTGGGCCTTCGGTGGAGCTCCGCATGGGGCCTGCAAACGCTGCACTAAATGGGTGAAACGCATGGAAGGAGGAGGGGGAAGAGGGGGAGGAGGGGGAGGAGGAGGAGGAGGAGGAGGAGGAGGAGGGAGGGAGGAGGGGGAGGAGGAGGAGGAGCGACGCGGGACGCTGTCTTCAAAACGAGGACCCAACACCACAGCATGGATGGGAACAAAAACACAACGTTTCCTCACACTAAAGGCGCCAACTACTGCGTATGTTTGGTTGTTTGGGTTGTTTCGGTTCGGGATGCTGGGAAACACTGTGTATGTGTGGCGTTTTGCACCTACGGCGCCAACTGGTGTGCATTTTTGTTCTGGGGGTTTCGCCGGCTCAGAGAGAGAACCGCCGCGAGGGGGCCGCGGCGAGCAACGGGGCCTGCCAAAGCAAGAAAGAAAATCGAAAAAAACAAACAAAAAATAGGAACGGGCGAAAGACCCAACCATATGCACTTGCGAACACCGCAGTTGTGAATACCAGCTTCGCCCGCGCCCCTTACGCGGCCACGAACCGCGCCAGGGGCGCGCCGAAATGCGTGGAGAGGTACACAGCGCGAATGAAGACGATAAGTTTGCGCGCGAGAGACTGAGAGCGGGCGTAGTCTGAACGAACGCGAGCGAGTCCGATTGTGAAGGAGTCTGCGCGCGCGCGAGTCTACGCGCACGAACGTCGAAGCCCACGCTGGCGCGCCCCTCGCAGGGGAAGCGCCCGCCCCCCCCCGTGATTTTTCCCCCCTTCGCCCGCGCAAGCCAATGTCCAAGGCCGCGGGCGCAGCGCCGCGCGGAACCCCCGCGACGCGCGCCGGTCGCCCCGAAGGGGCCCCAGCGACGCGCGCGGGTCCGCCGCGAGGAGCGAAGAGAGCTAGCTGGCTGGCTGATAGCGGCCCTGGCCGCTAGGCAGACCGACGACGGGGGCAAGCGAGGCGCTGGGCAAAGCGCGACATGGAGTTCCCGCGACGCACGCCGGTCGCCCAAAGAGGGCCGCAGCGACGCGCGCTGGTCGTTCGCGGCGCAAGGCCAAACAGTCAGGCAGTCGAGAGACGGTTGGGTTCGGGCGGGCCTCTCCCCAGGTCAAGCCTCGCGGATAAACTCCGTGAAGCCCAGCTCCCTGGCGAGGGCCGTCGCCTCCCTCTGGCACCGCTTCGTGCGCGCCGTAAACTGCTCCAGCTGCTTCCGCAAGCCCTCTGGCGGCCCTGCCAGGAAGAACCCCACGCGCGGCGCCCGCATGAACAGGCGGTCCTCGTGGCGCGTGGCGTGCGAGAGCAGTGCGTAGAGCTCCAGCCACCAGTCATCGTCCTCCTTCTTGCCGTTCCCAACCTCGCGGCGGCCGCAATCCAGGATCACGCCTGGGCAATGTCGGCCGAGGGGGCATCGCGCCGGACAGCCGACGGCCCAAGGCGAGTCCACAGGACCGAGAGAATGTCTGGCCGCCATGCGAGCCTTGCCACTGGCGCCTTCGGTGGAGCTCATATGGGGCCACGATCCTCGTGAGGGGTGTGCCGACATGGCCCGAAGCCGCCATGCGAACCCTGCCACTGGCGCCTTCAGTGGAGTTCCCTACGGGGCCACGATCCTCGTGAGGGGTGTGCCGACATGGCCCGAAGCCGCCATGCGAACCCTGCCACTGGCGCCTTCGGTGGGGCTCCTATGGGGCCACGATCCTCGTGATGGGTGTGCCGAAATGGCCCGAGGCCGCCATGCGGACCCTGCCACTGGCGCCTTCGGTGGAGCTCCTATGGGGCCACGATCCTCATGAGGGGTGTGCCGAAATGGCCCGAGGCCGCCATGCGAACCCTGCCACTGGCGCCCTCGGTGGAGTTCCTCATGGGCCACGATCCTCATGAAGATTCTGCCGAAATGGCCCGAGGACGCCATGCGAACTCTGCCACTGGCGCCTTCGGTGGAGCTCCTACGGGGCCACGATCCTCGCGAGCGGTGTGCCGACATGGCCAGAGGCTGCCATGCGAACCTTGCTACTGGCGCTGTGAGGACTGTGCCAAAATAAGGCGGCGGGGCCATGCGGACTGCGCAACTAGGACCTTTTTTTTTGGTGTCGGCTGACCGAGGGCGGCCCTCGGGTCCGCAAACTCCCGCCGACGCGCCAGCCAGCAGGAGGCCCTGGCCGTCCACGACCACGAACGCGAGGCCGAGGATGCCGAGGGAGGGCGCCGCGGCCGCCCGCGCCTAGGGCGGGGCCCGCCGCCGCCCGCGAGGCCCGCGAGGCCGCCGAGCGCGAGCGCGGCGGCCGCCAGGCCGAGCCCCACCGCCGAAGGGTAGGGCGGAGCGGGGCCAAGACCCCCCGAAGGGGCGGCACCCCCGCAAGCGCGAGGACCTAGTGGGGGAGCACCAGGTCCAGCATGCGCTGGACCTCCTCGCGCATCGCCTCCGAGGGCGGAGGCTGCGCGCGGAGCAGGGCGTCATCGGCGGCCGCCCGCACGCCCTGGCACGCCTCGAAGGTGGAGTCCAGGGCCGCCAGCTCGCCGACGGGCAGCGCGGCCCGCACCGCCCCCAGGGGGCCCGCCGCCGCCCCCGCCGCCCCCAGCGCGACCAGAGGGAGCCCCAGGAAGCCGCCGCCGCCGCCTCGGCAGGCGGGCCGAGGCCCGCGCCTGCCGCCGCCGCCGCCGCCGCCGCACCCGGAGCAGCCGCCTCCGGTAGCGCCCGCCGACGACGCGGCCTGCGCCTCCTCGGCACGGCCTCGTCCGCCCAGGCGTCGTCAAACTCGACGTCGTCGCCGCCGTCGTTGTCCGCGTTGGGGCCGCCAGCGGCAGCGGGGACCGCAGCGGGCGGCGGGCCATCCGCCACCACTGCATCCGCCATCGCCGCAGCTTCCCCTCGCTCCAGTGCGCGCTGCCCCGCACGCCTCTGACGGCGCCTGCGCCGCCGCTCGCGCAGCGCCTCCGAGGAAGCGCGAGGAGCGGCGTCGGCAGGCACTTGAGGGCGTACTCCGCCGCCCGCGGCGGCAGGCTCCCGCGGAATCGGCCGCGCCGCGAAGGCGGCGGCCGACACGGCGGAGCGTGCCACGGCAGCGACAGTGCGGCGCGGCGCGCCGCCGTCCATGGCTCCGCGGACCGCCGCAGCCACCAAGGCCGCCAGGTCCACAGGCGCCGCGAGAGCCCCCCTAGGCAGCGCCATCCCGCGGTCCCGCAAGGAGAGGAGGGAGGCGCGGCCGTGCGAACGCTTGAGCCAAAATGGCCGAGCCAAACAGGCTTGAGCCAAAAAGGCTACGGAACCGCAACTGGGACCTTAGCTGGAGCTCACTATGGGGCCACGAAACGTGTAAGGGGTGTGCCAAAATGGGGCGGTGCCGCCATGCGAGCTGCGCCACTGGGACCTTAGTTGGAGCTCCCTCTGGGGCCACGAAACATGCGAGAGGTGTACCAGAATGGGGCGGCGCCGCCATGCGAGCTGCGCCACTGGGACCTTAGGAAGAACTCCCTATGGGGCCATGAAACGTCTGAGGGGTGTGCCAGAATGGGGCGGCGCCGCCATGCGAGCTGCGCCAATAAGACCTTAGGAGGAGCTCCCTTTAGGGCCACGAAGCGTGTGAGGGGTGTGCCAAAATGAGGCGGCGCCGCCATGCGAGCTGCGCCACTGGGACCTTAGAAGGAGCTCCCTACGAGGCCACGAAGCGTGTGAGGGGTGTGCCAAAAAGGAGCGGTGCCGCCATGCGAGCTGCGCCACTGAGACCTTAGTTGGAGCTCCCTCTGGGGCCACGAAACGTATGAGCGGTGTGCCGAAATGCGGCGGCGCCGCCATGCAAGCTGCGCCACTGGGACCTTAGCTCTGGAGCTCCCTATGGGGCCACGACACGAAACGTGTAAGGGGTGTGCCAAAATGGGGCGGTGCCGCCATGCGAGCTGCGCCACTGGGACCTTAGTTGGAGCTTTCCCTGGGGCCACGAGACGTGTGAGGAGTGTGCCGACATGGGTGGTGGGGACGCTGATAATGATAACGATCGTGATGAGGATGTGGATGAGGATGATGCTGCAGATGATGATGCTGATGGATGATGGGCGACGGTGATGATAGTCACTATGATGCTGATGATGGGGAGAGGGAGGGGGGGCAGCGGGAGGAAGGAACGCGAGGCGCTGTCTCTTCAAAACGAGGACCCATCACCACAGGATGGTTGGGGAAAAAATGGTTGCTGGCTTCACAAACCAAACAAACCCAAAAAAACAAAAATACATAGTGCTTCCTTGCACTGACGGCGCCAAGCGCTGTCTGGTATGGGTTTTTTTTGTTACAGAGGGGGGGGGAGGAGGAGGAGGAGGAGGAGGAGGAGGAGGAGGAGGAGGAGGAGGAGGAGGAGGAGCGGCTTCGGACGCCCAGAAAACCGCCGTCCTGGAGCGTCGGGAAGCCAAAAAGAGGAGAACCCCCAAAGTCGCTCAAAACCAACAGAAAACCAATGATGCTTGCCTCTCGGGGCCTTCTTGGGAGTGCTCTTGGAGGCCTCTTGGGACGTTTGGGAGCGATCTTTGAGGGTATGACGGCTTCTTGGGGGTCGTCGTGGACCGTATTGGGGCTCTCTGGGGTCGTTCTGGGAGCGCGCCGGAACATCTGGAACCCGTCTGGGGCCGTCTTCGGGCTCTCGTGAGGTTCTCCTGGGTCGTCGGGAGGGTTGCCCCCAGGAGGCCCAGGGAGGGCCAACTTCGTTAGGGCGGGGGGGAGCTTTTTCCGGCGTCCCTGGCCCTTTGAAGAACGCAAAGGGATACGTACTATAAATATATACACACAAACACGCATACGCATGTACATGTATGTATGTGTATCTCTCTCTGGATATATATATATATATATACACATACATATACATATACATATATATATATATGGATATGGGTTCCTCTCTCTCTCTCTCTCTGTGCCTCTCTCGTTATCAATCGTTGTCTCTCTATAAACATATATATATATATCAGCCAGCGTTGACTCCAAATAGACTAGACGACTCAAATCAAGGAATCAGAAGAATCGAGTATGCTTGGAATCCGCAACTCAGCAAGCAAGCAAGCGCGCAAGCAAGCAAGCAAGCAAGCAAGCAAGCAAGCATACATAAGGGGGGGCCATTGGAAAAAGGAGGGATTGGCATAGGCATAGGCATAGCCATAGGAATTAGGGGGGCAAAAGGAATTAGGGAGGGGCAACGGCAAAATTGGTAGGGTGCGAGCTAGGACTCCTACAGGGCAAGCCTAGTTGGAGAATCTATCTGAAACTATCTCCGCAAATGTGCATACCTCCTAGTGCATATATGTGTATATTTTACAGAGACAAGCAAACGCACCCGTGCCCGGGTGCCCTTGCACGCACGAGCGCGCGGGCGCGCGGGCTCGCGCGGGCTCGCGCGGCCGTGGCACGCTGCCCGCAGCAGCGCACGCGGAGGTGCCCGGGCCGCCGCCGTGCCCCGAGACGAGTGCCACGTACGGCAGTGCCCAGTGCCCAGGCCCAGGCCCATGCCGCCGCCAGTGCCCACGCCCATGCCCATGCCGCCGCCAGTGCCCATGCCCATGCACGCGGAAGTGCCCATGCCCATGCCGCCGCCAGTGCCCGTGCCACGAGGCGAGTGCCACGAACGGCAGGTTCGCGCCGTGTCGATCCCCGGCGTTGGTTCCTGACACCGCGGGGACCGTTCAAACCTGAACGATCGGCCGTTCCGTGAACGCCGGATCGTTCGACGACGGGCCGATTCTGGGCCACGGGCGGCGTTCAACCTGAAGCCGCGTGCTCAATGTTGCTCCCTGTAGACACCCTTCGGCTACACGCAAGAGTGATCCTAGGCAAGAGTAGCCTTTGGTGCGCAGGCTTCGGGGGGCCGCGGGGGAGCCAACTCCACGCGCGCAAGACGCTACCAACGTATCGCGCTCTGCGATCGGGAGGCCCGAATTGGCCCTCACCAAAGGTCACTCCAGCGAAGGGTCACGCATACGTGTAGTCGAACCCTTCAAAGGGCCCAGAGCCCGAACTTCTGGATTTCTGGGGGCCGCTCGCGCACTGACGCAGGTAACCGAGGGTGCTCCGCGCGACTTCCCCGCAGGCCACAGAGCTCCAAGACAGGCCACGAGGGTCCCAAGAGAGCCCCAAACCAATCCAAGAGGGCCCCGAATCGGGTCAAGAGCGCACCAAGATACCAAAGATTCCCTCCAGGCGGCCCAACAAGCCGCCAAGACGTACCACGCCCCCAAGAAAGCACCAATACACCAAAAACACGTATGCTTCTCTGGCTCTTGGACGATGGTAGTGCTTTTGACTGTTCGGGTCCCCGACGCCCCAGGACGGCCCAAGAGACCCCCAGCATCGCCCCAAGACGGCGCAAGGCGGCCCAAGGCGGGCCTAAGACGGTCCCAAGACGGCCCAAGAGGCTCCCCAAGTCGGCACAACTGGCAGGAGGGCCCCAAGAAGGGCCCAAGAGGGGGGATGCGAAGGTGTCTTGGGAGCTTTCCGCTTCGAGATAGCGACCGAGACACCCACTATACCCCCAAGATCCCCAGAAGCACCCAAGAGGCCATACGAGGCCCCCAGACCCCAACAGACATCGCACAGGCCTCTCGCCCACAACCTAGGCACAGAGGCGGGGTAGGGCGAAGGCCACTACGGCAGGTTCGCGCCTTGCCAACGCACAGGCGCCCCCGCCGCGGGCGTTCAAGGTTGAACTCCGCCAGTTGCCCAGAATCAGCCAATAAGGAACGTTCTTGCGATTAAAAGCCGCCGATCGTGTAAGGTAGGGCGATCCACGCGGTGTCAAGAACCAACGCCGCGATCGTCACAACACCAACCTGTCGTAGCACTAGACGCGCACACGCGCGAGAGCGCGCGCGCGCGCCTGCCCACTACGTCGCCACCCACGCCTGCACGGCCAGCGTGGTCAGTTGGAGATCACAATGCTCTTGCTCCACCTCCTCCTCCTCCTCCTCCTCCTCCTCCTCGTCCTCCTCCTCATTCCCCTCCTCCTCCTCCTCCTCCTCCTCCTCCTCCTCCTCCTCCTCCTCCTCCTCCTCCTCATTCCCCTCCTCCTCCTCCTCCTCCTCCTCCTCCTCCTCCTCCTCCTCCTCCTCCCGCCTACCTCCCACCCTCCTCCTCCTCCTCCTCCTCCCCTCCTCCTCTCCTCCTCCCCTCCTCTTCCTCCTCCTCTTCCCTCCATCCTCCCCTCCTCCTCCTCCTCCTCCTCCGCTCCCCCTCCTCCTCCTCCTCCTCTCCCTCTCCCCTCCCCCCTCTCCCCTCCCCCTCCTCCTCCTCCCTCCTCCTCCTCCTCCTCCTCCCTCCTCCTCCTTCCTCCTCCTCCTCTCCTCCCCTCCTCCTCCTCCCTCCTCCTCCTACATCTCCTCCTCCCCCTCCTCCTCCCCCTCTCCTCCTCCTCCTCCCCCTCCTCCTCCTCCTCCTCCTCCTCCTCCTCCTCCTCCTCCTCTTCTTCTTCTTATTATTCGTCTTAGTATTCTTAGCCTTCTTCTTGTTATTATTATTATTATGATTATTCTTCTTATTCTTCGTATTAGTATTCTTCTTCTTCGTATTATTATTGTTATTATTATTCTTATTGTTAGTCTTCTTCTTCGTATTATTATTCTTCTTCGTATTGGTATTCTTCTTCTTCTTA